ATTATTATATTAATATATAAGAGGTTATTATATATATGATCATAGCTACAAATCCCATCCAGACATTATGCATCACTAAGTTTCTGGTCAACTTTAATATATGCACCTATACTAAAAAATAATGCTTAACCACACAGCTCTCATGTATAGATCCCAAGTGTGCAGAAGAAGCCTAGTAAACGCAGACCTTGCTTCGTCTATTAGCTGATACTGATTAATGATCACTAATTTTAAGATTCACAGCAAATGAACAATATATCAGCAAAAATATACAAGGATAATAACATTTTGAATATGACGTTAAATTGTGAATAAACTCAAATCAAAACCAAACACAGTAGTTTTCTTATACTCCTTCGAAACACACTACTTCGGAACATTTTTCTCTCCTCGTTACGCTTTCGCAGGAATTGTTAGTTACAATTGAATCCATCAATTCCTGGGTCAGGAAATTCAACAGAGAAATTACTTTAATGTCATTTGGCTCAAATGTTTTCGCCCACCTGTATTCTACCAACATGAACATGCATCAGAAGTTAGTTGCAAAAATTAAATAGTAGTGTCTAAGCTGATTTTCTTATTAATGAAGAAAATTACGATTTTATATACGTAGTTGTATTTCAGATAATTTCTGCAAATAATTTCGCAAAACTTCGTTTATGGTATTATCGTTCAACAATTTTGCAAAATTTGACATTGCAGCATGGCAAAAACTGCCAATTTTTTTTGCATCTTTGTACATTTCTGCTTGTCCAATCTAACTTTGTACTCCCGACATAGAATAATCCGCAGCTGAGCAACAAAACCGGAGGCAAACAAGTTTCTATTTTTCCCCTATGCGGACGTTGGAATGCTACCTCAGTGACGTCTAAAAGTTCAATGAATTAGTTTCATTAAAGGTGCAGTCTAATAAACCACTCAAGCAGTCCAACGTGCAGTAATTGTGCCCGAATTCGCAGGTTTAAGCGTCGTAATCAGGCATTGACTGACACCTCAGTAATTTATGAGGCACGTAACACTCATGTAAAAGGGAATGAAAGCGACAGATAAAATGTTCATTTGCAGAGCCTCGTGCAGTCATGTAAGCTCAGGGTTTTATTTGCAATTGTGATAGTATTTGGGACCTTAAAAAATATAGAAAATATGTACCATTGCAGGGCTATAGCAAGGGTTTAAACGTAAAGGCTGTTAGCAGCCTTAAAGAATCCGATTTCAATATTAATGAAAATTAAAGATATTATATTAACGTTTGATATTTTACCCACGAATAACTCAGTGTCTTATAGACAAAAAAAGCGCTACAAAATAGCGATGATGACTTCATTGCAGCATTTAAATTTTGTCGGCAGAGGTTGGAAGTGAAAAAGTTTATTACGAAATATCGCATCGCAATAATTCACTGAAATTTTTAGTCTGTTGGGGCGATAAAACTCCCACTTGTCCAAAAAAGTGCATGTACGATTTCTCCGTTTAAGCGAGGGATCGCATTAAAATCTCTGATTAATGTCAGTGATTTTAAGATTACTGATCGAGAAAATTACAGAAGATAGAGTGTCCGTGTTTAGCAGCGAGCTAATTTGCTCCAACCTCTTGAGCTTAAAAATGTTTTGCTAATTTAAGCTCACCATGCACGCGAAGAATAATAAATATTTCTAACTTTGATTAATTTCTAATTCGATAGTTTACATCATTGAAATTTAAGAAAGATTATAATAACATAAACATAACATAGTGATCTCGGCGCTAAAGTGTAGGCCTGATGTGGCCTGTCGCCGATTCTTTTACTTTTCGGACTTGTTCACAGAAGATCTAAAATCGTGTCATTTGACCAGATAAAAAAGTCGTTATTTTTTCTAAATTGCATTAGTAATGAATTAGGAATTTTTAGGTAGATCGTTCCGTATTTATTGTATAATTCGATGCGTATTGTTGACAATAAAGTCTAACATATCTTAGATTACAACTTCTAATTGTATTTCTATAATGAATTGACGAACGTTCCCACAGAGAAACTCATATGCGTGGAAAAGAAGACTCTTCAGAGCAGTGGCGCTCTATAACTTAACAATCATTTTATCTAATCCAAAATTTTTATAATTTATCTGCATAACCAAGAATTTGAAAGTAAGTAAATGCCTAGTAAATTCATTTTTTTCAATCGGGGAGTTTCAGAGACCAGCTTCATCATTAGTTCGAAAAGACAAAAAAATATAGTCAGAAACACATATATCAGACTTATATATCAGAAACACATATAAGTCTGAATAACCACGGACCAAGTGACGTAAATTTTTATTAAAGTATTAACTTTAAACTAATTAAACAACAAACTATTATTGGCTTACATGCTCCATAGTAAATTTTACCAATTGAGATTTTATGTTAACACGAAACGTCCCACATGAGAGGGTTACCTGATTATTATGGATCTGACTCCAAAATATTTATTCTATAAAATCAAGGAGACAATAATTGTTCTCGTAGAGTAGAACGCTAAATAATTTTAATGGTAGCGTCTCCGGAGCGAAACTGCAGTGCAGCGCCAGGGTTGAGATCAGGAACTGTTGCGCTGGGCAGCGCGCTCGGAGAAAGCGACGTGTGTTCGGCTAGCACTACACCGGGCAACAGTCAGCAACCCATTGATCATGCTTACGTCCCTTTTCTTATTTTTGCAAGTTGTAACTTGCATTTTTCATGGAAAAACACTATCTGAGTTGTTTCCATTACATTCTTTCAGTCCACAGGCTTCAATTTATAAACTGACTGCTATCATAGATATATAACCATCATCAAGCGATCGTTTCAATATAAGCTAAAACGTTCTCTTATAGTTAACGTCATCAGTAGTAAACTAAGTGTTAACGGGGAACATAATGAAAGTTGGAAATCCTGTAAATGTATTAAAATAAAAAATGTAAATCATCATGCTTTTAACTCCGTTACCAGCCAACCTATGCGTATTATGCATGAAATTTAAAATCTGAAATAATTGTGAAATTTTGGTAAATTTTAAATTTTATTTTGAAATGAAAATAAGCGCCCTTTTACTATTTGTCTGTTTATGCAGGTCTAAATAAGGAGCTCGATGAAGATACCTTTCACATGGTTATGCAATTGCAGGACCGTGTGTGTGCCGCGGTCTCAAATACACGTACGATGAAGGCTTGAAGCTCGAAATTAGCGTCCGAGTTGTTCGAACGTTTAATCAAACTTGTAAAAATTAAATTAGTTTTAGAAATCTGCTTACCCCTCTACCGCCTGACTTGAGTAACCGAAGCAATATTGTAAAAAGCTAACTTCCCAAAGAGAATACGTTTTAGTGAGCGCAAAATGACTTGCACTGATGGTTGACGCCACGTACGACAACTTGAAAATGTTTTCTTTTGCGTACAAACGTCCTCATGCAGGTTGCTACACTCAATAGTTTATGAATAATTTAAGTTGAAAGTTATGTTCCCGCAGAGTGGCATACGGCGGTAGAGGGTTAAGAAACCTTGCAGATGCACAACAACGCTTAATAATAGTTTAGGAGACTTACCCACCTGCTGCTGTATGGCTGTCCACGAGATAACCCCGCATGCTCGAACTGCAGATAAGACGTGGCGTCAGAGATGCTCTGCATGCACGGCAATGCAATGCAGGTTTGCTGTTAAAAGGTCAACAGCCAGCAACCAAGAGCTCCCGCACTCGGTCCACTGCAACACACACAATTATCGTCAAGCTGGAACGCTGCTGCTGTAGAGCTTCCTCGTACGCGGAAAGATTCTCTCAAGAATGCATTTTTTACATCAACCTTTACAAATCTTCGATGGATAACAGCAGGCCAACCTTTAATCATCAGAGAGCCTTCCCGTTGCTTGTCGCATAGTTTCAGCAGGGCATTAGGTGACGTTCATTGTTAGGGGAGAACCATGGATGGCCGACCATTTCTGAGCAGTGGCCGCCGATTGTCTACGCTTATTTCTCCATGGTAGTATACGGAGCACAGGTGAGTGCGGTAAATTGCAGTGGATCGAGCATTGCTTTCTAGCTAGGGTTTGCGTGGCCGGAGGCCGTTTTAAGTGACAGAGGAGATCCGCCTCTTAAGTCTTCGCCGACGTAATGAAGCCTTCTCGGCGGCACTAATTCGTCTCTGCCTGGCTGTTGGTTGCATTGAACCGCAGTCGAGTACATATCAACGTCCGCTGTCATCACCGACACAATAGACTTTTTATAATAGACTTGGCGTTACATAGATGTCAGTAGAGAAAGTGATGGCTTGCAGCTTTCTGGATACCTGAGTTTCCTCCATGAATTAAACTTTTAAGAGAAGTTGAGGAAGACAGCATGTCTCTTTCATTCGCGAATAGCGCGTGCGTGGTTTATTTCTGTTAGATTTCTTTTTTTCTGGTATTTCAGTGAAAGAGTGTTTAAAATAATAATGAAAATTAGGAATCAAAACAAAAAAATTTAACGTTGATTGAAAGTTTAAAAGTACGTGATTACCAAAATCTGAAAACATGATTGCAAGCAAACTCGGAATCCTCTTGGAGAGGAGAGTGCCGGTAATCTTCACTTTCTGACTCAATGCACTTATTTTAGCTCTCTGAACTGTGAAGTTGTAAGATCTAGTGTCAGGTGTATGAAATGTATTTTACATGGAAGATTTAAGCCTAAACTTTATAACTTGGTTGGAGCAGCCAACGCACCTGGCATGCAGCGTAGAGCGTCACAACCCCGTATTATTTTGCCCACTTCATCTCGCCACCTGATTTCAATAAGAATTTGGGATGTCCGTCGAACCGATCCTACCTGCCCAGTGGTACTCAACTGTCCGACCCGATACCTACAACCTATTATGAGATCATTTAAAGGGTATTATGGTTAGCCATCCGACTAAGATCGGTAATCCAGCCCTTATTTCTAATAGGGGTCTCTAACCCGAAGGATCGGCCGCTCGCTAGACGCTGGCGAGTGAGCTTCACCCCAGCACCTGTAGCCTGTCAGTGAGGCGGTGGTCGTTGCCGTGAAAGTGTGGCTCCTTGCGGCCTACGAACAGGTTGACGTGGACCTTTCTTTCAGCATCAACGCTCGACTGAAACGCTCCCGAAATTCTGTTGGTAGAAACTGAATAATATCCCGGTGTCTAAAGTGTTATGTATCAGTGCCATTCAGTACCTACCTCATTTCGTTGTGAGTTAAAACGAAAACCTCGAACGTTTTAAAAGTATTTTAAATATAATTTTTAGTTATTGAAAATATTTACTTAGGTGAGTAGTGTGATTGATATGGTTAATGGCGATTGAAATTGTCCGATTAAACGCATACCGAGACAAGATTATTAGCTGAAACTTTAATGAAGGGATCACAACTTGTGGCGAACGCTGGACTTGGCGGTTGACAGTTGGTGAGGGCGCCAACCGTTCTGACGTGGTTATTGGTCAACATTCCGGCGTAAGTTATTTATGCATTATTTGTGAGTTTTTTAGTGAATAAAAATAATCCATAGTACCATATATCTTATTTTAATCCGGGGACCTAAATATAAATAAATGGGAGCATACTCATGCACTGTATAGCTACGCACATTTCTACCGAATCCTCAAGCAAGGCAGATTAAGAGGTTAATTGTAAGGCTGCAACTGGGCATTACCAGTTTACCACAAAATGCATTTTTTAACTCTCTTGCCTCTTGTGAACCTTGAAGATGGCGAACGTAATAATTTACGAAGTCATGTACGAACTGCTACACATTTTTCCGTTAAAGTTTATTTCATCCGTTTATGTATTCTCCGCAATAAATCTTCGATTGCTTAAAAAATTCTTATGGCTAGAGGAATTTTCTTCAAAAATTATTCTCGATTTTGTTCACAGCTCATTACCAAATGAGCAACATATGGCAAATTTATTACTCATGCACCCCTAAGAACCTCATAAAACCTTTCGTACAACTCCAAGCAAAGATGAAGACAGATTAAGAGTAAACAAATTGGGAAGAATTCTGTTCAACACCCAAAACGGAGCCAATCAAATGAGCTCTACGCAGGTACAATAAAAATAGTCCTAGAAATATCCTATAAAGCTGGATTTATCAATGTATGGATCAATCTTGTCGTCGTCTGAAGTGCCAGAACTTGCTCGAGTGCCCGGTGCCAGGCAGTATCACAATAATGCGTCCAGCTCCTTATCACGACCGCAATCATCTCATTAAGGCCTCAATATCAACTTAAGCGCTCAACTCTGAGTGATTATTCAAGATAATACAGCAGGAGCCTATAGGACTAGGTAGCCGTTTGGCACCTTGTATTGCTGAACAATTAAGAAAGGACAAAGAAGCAGAAAAAAATGCAGAAAAAAATTGAATCTACCTGGCCATTCCGTCAAATTATCGAGGAAATATGTCTCTCTGCTTTAGTCAAGGAATGAAATTCTAATAATGAAGTTAGTGTATTATTTTCAATATTAACTGGTAGATAAAGGGACAAATATTTGATTAGGTAGTCATAATGACGAACTAAGACGTGCATTTCCTTAGCATTCATACCTGTCATTATCCTGAATTAATTATCTTAAATCTGGAATGAGTTAAAGTAGATTAAAACGTTTCTAACTTTTTCACGGCCTACTTACCAAGGTACAAGAGATTTTCTAGTCAATAGACGACATGATCGTGAGTTCAGTCCAGAATTCGATTTACTGCACAACAATGGCGAACAATGGAGTGAGGCGCTCAATGTTCGAGCTTTAATTAGATCACCACCTGGCTATATACGTTGTACAATGTACAAGTACTGTAATTGTTCTGTTTCTACTTTGGTCTACCGTGGGAGATGAATATACTTGCAATAACCCAACATTAAATATCATGAGCAAATCAATTATTCACTAATTAGGAATTTATTATTTTCGTGTGTTCCAATTTAATTCTACGTAATGTAACCTTGTGAAAGTTACGAAAAAATGAATCACGGTTATGTTTTCTTACGTCGGTTCAGGGTTATGTCCTAATAGGAATGTTCTCCTGTAAGAACTATGATCTTTAGAGCCCCATTTCGTATCCTCTTGATTCTGAACATCAGGGATTCCATTCAAAATTATCTAAATTCACGAGAAAGCAAGTCCGGAAGCCATGACCTTGACGACAGAGTGGTGGCGCGATGACCTGGCGGTCGGTGAGACGCTCGTAGAAAGGCGTAGAGTCCGAGCAACTGGCCCGACAAGCTCGCCACATCACCGGGCCCCTGCCCCGGACTGCCAAGCTGCTACTGCCACATTCTTAGCACTGGCTGCCTCATGCCTCGCTATAGTAGAGGTCGAGTGTGTGCTGCAAATGAACCGTGAACCACAATCTCACTTAATTACTCCATGAAGCTAGCACAACACACAAAGAAAAAATGAAGAAGCTTTTTCCAAATAGCGCTGCACTTTTTTCATTTTTGTGTGTCATCATCACCCAGTTTGTTCTGGAAAATGAGCGTATCAGCGCTACGTGCACAGAGTATGCCACTATTTTGAAATATCACCCATACATTTTTTTTGAATGGCACAAGCACATTGTCAAGTGTTCCCTCATTGTCCACTAATTCCATTGTCCCAAAACAGACTTCTTGTCATTAAAAGAAAACTTATCAACGATATGCTTTCGAAATTCACGCTTTGTGCTCTAAATAAAGTGTCAACTATGATCGGTTTCTTATATGTGATATTTTTCAACCGAAAAAGTTTTCTTGACAAAAATTACACATGATATTTTTTGTTCTGAGTTCTCCTCAAAACAAGTGAAATTCTCAAAACAAGTGAAACTATTCAATGCTACACTAGTCAGACATTCATTCACAAGTGTAATTGCGTTTTTTTATAAAATCATGTTTTTGCTTATTATTTATAGGGATATTTTTAGTCAATTTTAAACACTTATTTATGTTAATTCATTCAAATTTTTAGCTTCTCCCCGATGCATGAACTATTGTGAATTCTTTGCAAAATATGTATATTCTTATTTATTTTAGCTTATTTTTCACACACGTACTGCCATAAACTCGTTTCTGTGAAAATAAATGTACTGGATTGATCGTCGACGAAAATCCAGCTCCTGAATGATTCAGCTTCTGAACACTTTTAAACTTTCAATTACAATCTTTTCATGATTATCATTCACATGATTATCATTGAATGACTAATTGCCGCAAAGTCATTAAGATTTCAACGTTTTCCAGTTGCATTATCAGTTATTATTGAGGTACAATTTGAAACGGGTGTAAATTATGCTCTGATATACCGATGGGGTAGCAATTAAGTTAGACAATTTGGAGTTAATTGAAAATGTCATTTGTTTTCGTATCGCGATCGAGCTGACACGTTCCCGGCGTTGGCAGGACCTCGATTGCCAAGCGATAGCTAGGACGAGCTGTCCGCCGCAATATTATTGGCAAATCAAAGAACCAAATAAATAATAATATCGTAAAAATGGTTAGAAGTAAAGGAACGTGAGTAAATTGAACAGTGAGATCGGTACTCATGATACCAGAGCAGCCATGTTTTCGGAACATCTGTTGGCAATTTACTTCAATACCACAAATTGCCTTACTCGAAAACACAGAAATATAAATGATATGCGGAATGAAATTTTTGTTCAGAGTATCGAGAACAGGTTTTAGTCAGGTGTTGCCCTCTGACAAAAAATTTGCCCTCAATATAAATGATTAGTCCAAGTATTAGTATTTACTTTCATTTTAAGAGAAAACCAAGAAATATATCATAACGAAATCGAAAAGAATCACTAATAACTATAATAAGCTACATTTTAAACCTTGGATCTATTTATAGCTATACTCCGTTCATTTCCAAACCATTTATTTGTCTTCGCAGAGCAGTTGTCCTTTAGATTGCCAAAAGATCGTAAGTGATTTAGGATGAGAAACACTTCGTAGGTGACCCCCATTCAATATGGTTCAAATAACTAAGCAAACCGTGGGAAAGGCAAGCGCTGTGTGACCGACTGCTCCGTCTGTAGTCTCCATGGAAGCTGCACGACAATTTGCTCGCAGTGTTCGCCCAACGTTCTAGTGGCTTATTACAAGTTGTGCCATATCTTCTATAATTTTCATCCAGCAGTAAACACGAGAGCCTCCTAGGAAGCTTTTTGCTCTGCTCTGAGGACTCACCAGTCTTCTAGAAGACTATTTCTCGAACCGCCACCGCTAAAAAGTTGCAAAGACAGTCAGCCGTGGCAGCTCCAGCATTTCCTATCGCCTCGGGGACTCAGCAGCCGAGCCACATTTGTTCGCAAAAAATTTAAGTGCCATAACTATTTCTGCTTGATGATTTGCAGTGTCGGCGAACGAAAGAAAACTTGGTGGCTCTACTTATTCAAAGAAGGATATTTTCCATATTAGCTCCAGTGGTTGAAAAAGATAATGAAATCTGGATGGAATTTCCCCAGCAGACTTTTTCGGCAAATTAATTATTGCAATGATAAGAGGCGATGTAGTTGGAAATAAATTACAGCTGAGAAGACATTTGAAAATTCATGTCCATTCAATATACGGACCAATTTCGTAAAATAGTTTGATTTGTGCCTCTTAAATACTTTCTTTTTGCAGAAAAACTTTTTTGTTCATCAGAGTCGATTAGTCTATGGACTGAATTAATGATAAAATGTCAATTTTGTGTTGGATTTCATGTATCACTCAGCATATTCACAAGAAACAAGCTAGAAAATAATCATTTGTAACTCATTGTTTAAAAGTTCATAATCACCATAAGCAATGTATAATTTATTCCCAGTTGATTGTTAGCCACGTATGTAACCTTGTCATGTTTCCTAACCACCTAGTACATTCCATGCGGAATTACAACATTACTTCATTGTTCGTACTGCATCTAAGAAAATGGAATTTTCTGCGGACTCGGTGGTGGGTGAGGGCGGCAATGGCTGCTGATGGCGCTTAGTCCATCTCTGAGATTCAGATCACGTCTGAGAGGCAGGACGTGTGGTGCATTGCTGTACTCTATTATTATAAATCACAGCTGAGATATCGGTGGCCAACCTTCATCCCACGCGTGGCCGACGAATACTCAGCTGATATTTTCAGGTACAATGGTATTTTTGCTATTATGAAAGACTACACCGTTCTAAGTGTGAACCACTTACAACCAAGCCGAGTTGACGCACAAATTCTGCAGGTTTTCTACATATCAGTTCATTAATAATTGATGTAGAACCTCTTAAGTAAAGCAGTAGTAAAGAAATTTGCAATTGACCTGGATAAACTCTGATCCCACCAGGCATCTCACGTTGGAATAACATTTATAAACGTTGTTTCAGCGAAGTCAGTTATCAGCGTCATTTCAACGTTATTTACCTGAATGGATAAGGCAACTGTAATTTAAGTGCATTCTCAAACTTTCCATCAAAAATCCTCTGAATTAAAACTTCGCAAAATGATGAAAGAATTATTTCCAACCACATCACCGGTTTTCAGAGTTTTGTCCACAGCGCAACGTAATTGCAGGGTGTGCACCTGGCCCTTAATCTTTCTAGCAGCAACCACCACAGAATTGTCCGACCGTAAAAAGGATGTTATGATTAAAATGTAAATTTTCGGCCGTATATGATTCAAAATCTTGACAAATTAGTTTACGTGCTTGGAATAATTTTGTACTTAACCGATTTTATCTAAATTTCGATGTGCGTGTTAGGTTGCGAGTGACTAAGGTGGTGACATGAGAAATCGATTTTTTTCTAACTGCGTGATGTGAAAATGGTCGTATTAGAAACTCATGGAATTTAATGTTCATTATTACTTGATATTTTCGAGAGTAGTGGTCATTAGAAATAAAAAGATGAACGGCGTTGCTGGGCCAGTGACAGGCAGGTAAAGGGCCTGTATCCCCGATCCCTGCTAGCGCGGCAGCCTCCAGCAAAATAAAATAAGCGACTGCGCACGCATGGGAACAATAAATAGAGACTCAGTTATGTTAAAATATTTATTTAAACATGTCTAAACAGCTATGTAAATCCTGACGAATAAACGTAAAGATGTTATTTCCGGAGAAAACAAATTTTTAAGCTCATTTGCAAGCATTTGAGACACAATCGTTTTAATTATGAAAAAATGTCTCAATAGTAAATTTAGCTCTCCCCATTATGCCAGTCAATTTATGAAACGCTTATGTATTAGATAGAGTTCTCAAATTGCTACAAAATTTATACAGGCAAGATATTTCAATCACATTTTTAAATATATAATATATTTGAGGGATCGGTGACCAATGTCTCATTAATGATAGAGACGAACTCGGTGCAGAATGTCTTATCAATGATCGATGCGAACTCAGTGCAGAATGTCTTATCAATGATCGATGCGAACTCAGTGCAGAATGTCTTATCAATGATCGATACGAACTCAGCGCAGAATGTCTCATCAATGATCGATACGAACTCAGCGCAGAATGTCTTATCAATAACATAACAACATATTGATCTCGTCGCTGAAGTGTAGGCCTGATGTGGCCTGTCGCCGATTCTTTTCCTTTTCGTGCCTTGTTCACAGAAGATCAAATATCGTTTCATTTCACCTTTTCATGACTGACGATAGTTTCAAGTAGCTACTAGACTTCCACCGGGTTCGATATTGTGCTAGGCATTTCAAATCTGAACATATATTTCTCCATAGCTTTATCTAGTCTGTTTAGTATACTTGTATACTTCAATGAGGTCCCCACGCAGACGTCGATAACTGAGGCTTTGGAGCTTTATAATCTTCAATCTTTCTTCATAGGACTTGCCCTTCAAGCCTGGAATTATCCTTGTTGCACGTCTTTGAACATTCTCTATTTAAATTTCTGTCCTTTTCAAATCTCGGTGACCACGCAACGTTTCCAAACTCTAGATTGCGGCGCACGACAGCAACAAACAACGCTTCATCGCTTCTGCATCTAGCTAGGAACTCGTATGAGCGCCTGATTAGTCCAAGAAGTTTGTTGGATGTTTAGCTTGCGTTTCAACATGCTTAGAAAATTTCAGCTCCTTGTCGACATAAACTCCGAGATCTTTTTCCACACTATAGACTTTTCAATCATTACACTCTCGTTGCAACTATGTCTTCTCATAATGTAATCTTGCTGTTTATTGTTCTTCCCGAGGTGAAGTACTTTACACTTGTCAGCATTAAACCGCAGCTGCGTTTATTTGACGCATCCTTCACCGTATTATAAACTTTTGTGTCGTCGGCATACATGGAACACACGCGAACTCATGATCGATGCGAACTCAGCGCAGAATGTCTCATCAATGATCAATACGAACTCAGCGCAGAATGTCTTATAAATGATTGACATGAACTCGACACGAAATATTTTATCAAAGATTTAAATGAACGCTGTGCAAAATGTCTGACAAAATGTCCTATCAATGATTGACATAAACTCAACACAGGCTGTCTTCTCAAAGATTTTTGATACGAACGCGGTGTTGAATGTTCATCAATGACAACATGAACTCGTCGCAGGATGTTAGTCACTAAATCCCGGGACAGTTGAATTTATTGCCTGTGCAGCCGCAACCATTTCTTGTCAGTTACTGTCCTCTAATTAAGATCTCTTCTTGTAATAGAACATCGATCCAAAAATATTTAATTCCATCAATTACTGCGACCGCGATAATTACTTAAATGGCGGTCATTACTTAGGTGAAAAAGTTCCATGGAACTTTGCCGTTTAGTTTTGCGGTCCCAGAGCGACCGATTTTTTTTACAAGACGAAATTCCTTTGCTTGTTGTTCATGGCTATTACGTTTTTGGTGACACAGCTAAATGTAGCAAATGAGCAGTGCTTAGGCGTAGTGTTCAAACTGATATTTATTAATTACAATTAAAATATCTTCCGAGTTGGGCGACGTAAACAAAGGAGTGCATGAGGCGCACGATGCGCAATGCACCGCACATGCGTCGGTTGCCGCTCACTCGAGCAATCAACACAGCAGCCAGGCGACGTAACAGGTGCGCGATGCCGCGCGGCAATTTATAAAACTTATTTATAAATAATCTTCGCACCCTGCAAATAAAACCTTACAAATATTAAATCGATAGTTGGTGATAATGTTGGTAGAAAATGATTTTTACCGTTCGGACTCCACTCAGGCAAATCGAAGTATAATTACCGCGAATGAGAATCGATGTAAGTAACTCCTTGCGGTCGGTCGGGGAAAGTTAACCCAATAGCTACAACCTCGCTGGTGGACTCGAAGCCTGCCCATGCACGCACACCATCCCTGCCCTTCACTGTCTTCTTTCTCTCTTCTATAGGACGACACTACTACACAGGCCTCACCTTTCTCTGCGTGGTCTGCCGAGCTGACCTTTCGCAGCAGAGATCGGCTCATAACACTGCGGAGTAATTCTTTCCAATCACCAGCGAGCTCATTGCGGTCCATGGTCTTCTGGTGGTGACATCTTTAAGCAGTAGTGATGGCAATTGTAACAATGGAAAACATATCCTTTTCTTCAGGTTCATATACAATTGAATGTCGAGATGCTCTTTTTGCGATTTACAAACTAGCACACCTACCAATTTATCGGTCTTATGAACAATACATGAAACAACACGCTCAGTATTTGGTTTAACATGAATCAATTGAAGTCTCCCTGCTGAGAAAAAATAGTTGGTCAGAACAGTAATTTCATTTTAAATTGTACAAATAATATTCACAGCAAGTTGTTGCTCATACATATACATTATTATTTGAGACACACTCAAACAAGAAATACATTGTTCAGATCTTCTATGGACCAGGTCGTTGCATCTTCCCCGCATTGACGACAATCTAATTCTAATGTACCTGTCATCTTGTAAAATTAATCGAAATATGTCTAAAAAAATTATTCATTCTCCCAAAAATTAAGAAGAACATCAATAATCAAAAAGGCCTGCAAAATTCACTTCGAATGCTAAATATTATTAGGAAAATTTAATTTTAGTAGAAGTGGAAATCCATAACGAATAATAATATCAATACATAATTGTTTATAAAAATTCTTGCCTTATGGAATAAAAGTGCATCAATTAATAATCAAAGACTACAGTGAAAGCTTGAATAAAAACATAAATATCTATGCCCCTCTAATACACCGCTCATAAATCTCAACTCCGTACTAACCGAAGGTCCGAACTACAAGGCATGGTGAGGCAGAACTAACTAACCGCGAGGCAGAACTTACTATCCGCGAGGCAGAACTAACTATCCGCGAGTCAGAACTTACTATCCATTAAAAGCTTAAAATGGCTTAGAGTTGAGCAATCTCCTTACGGGCATCAGCGCTCACGGATCAAAATGAAGAGATAAAAGCGAAGTCATTCTGAAGCTGGACTGAGCACAGGCTCTTACTTTCACCTTTGAATGGAGGACACGACGTTATTTATGCGCCATCGCCAGTCTAAAAAATGTTTTAGAGCGAGTGAATAACAGTTACGTATTGTCATCGGGAACATTAACATTTTATTTTTGGTATATTGAAAAAATTTTGCGCAGGAAAACAATACGCAAACTTGGTCCCCGTGATAATTTCAGTATAGAACTTTGTAGTCGGAAAGGCCCGTAGTTCTTCCGCAACATATCGTCTAACTTCCGCGTATCCTCTCACGCAAAACCGGTGAGATTCAGGACTATTGTCTTCTGAGAAATTGTATTATGGAAAGGAAAAGTACATCAGCATCATGTTGGTATCTCAAAATGTCAGATTAAAATTCGCTAGCAGCACAAGTAACAGCATAGAGTGTCTTGATGACGCAAAGTGAAGCCATAAAATTAATTCCACTTCTATGTTTTAATTAATTCTTAAATTTGCCCATACGTCAAGAAATTTTCTAGATTGTCACTCGTAACGCTTATAAATTCTTGACTTGAAATTTTCATGCAGGCATCGATACATTTAATTAATCATTGAACGATGCCTCGAGCCCAGGGTATGTTCCAATGTTACGTTTCAATAGACTCTGTCTATTTCAGGCGGAGCTGGCCGTGCAGGGAGACGACTTCACACGGCAAATATGGCACATGTACGCCACGTTTGAAGATTTCCTCGAACACCAGCAACAGCAGCAAGGATCTCCCAGTGACCCCAGACGATCCACTCCTCCATTCCCGGTCGCCCGGGGTAACACGCCTCCCCCACCACCAGCTCCTTCACATTCTGGGGGTGGAAGTTCTGCTAGCGCGCGGAGGAAGATGAGCAGTCGTAGCAAAAGGCGAAGAGCCACCAGCGGCGGCAGCTGTAGAGGCAGTCGCGACGACAACAGTGGAGCCGGAGGAGCTGCAAGCGACTCTTGTACTCCACTAGTTGCCACTATTCGTAGCATCCAGGAGGGCAGACGAGGAGGCACTGCCAGCAGCGATGACGTCGATGAAACCTTTCCACCAGATCCTGCACCAAACGCGCAGCATAGAAATTTCTCGTCACACTTGTCACCTTCAGTCCCAGGAATGGGACTTCATCCTAGTAGTATGGACGCTTTGTCCTGCAGTGGATATGCTGGAACGAACAGCATCGATAGTGGGTATAAAAGTGCGTGTCCAACTCCTGATCTTTCAGATTCGTTCTACCCTGAATCGCTGTTTCTCAGGAGCTCTTCTGGAGGTTTGATTTCTCCAAGGCCTAGAATCACCATGGGGACGAGGATGATGTCGAAAGGTGCTCGCGTCGGTTCAGATCCTGCTTACTATGAGGATATTGACCCTTTGGAGATTCCAGGGCTATTCCATAGGCGGCCATCTACATCGCCTGGACCTAGGAGCGGATCGACAACGGTCAGCAGACCTCGCAGTGCATCAACTGGGTCGAGATCTTCGCCCACAACCTTCCCGGCAACACGGAGGGCGTTGCGCAGTTCTCCCCACATGTCTTCCACAGGATCCCTCACAAGCTCTGGACTGCCTTACTCCAGACACTCTTCACCTGGTGGAGCATACTCTTCGCCCGGAGGAATTTCTCCCGCTTCACGTCGAATGGAATCGCCTCATGAAGGGTGCAATCTTATAGCTGAAATGCAGGCTTCAAGCAGCTCTCAGTTGGCACTCCTTGAGAGAGAAATAGATGCGTTGCTCACCGGAACTTCGAACGATGCAACACAGTATTCCCTTTCTGAAGGTGCTCATGATCTTTCTCCGGGCGTTGGATTCGCTCATCAGAGACACAGAGATCACCATGAACATCTCTTCCGGGTCCAAGAGGATGAGACAGCTTCAAGCCCACAGGGTCGGCCACCTCATCCCCCCACGAGACTACGAGGCAAGTCGTGATAATTTTACATATTTTAATCGTGCACAACAAACATATTTCGTTTCAACTTAAACAACACAATTTTGTTAAAGTCAAAGGAGCTAAAAACATGCAATATCAAAAAGTATATGATTTCTCAAGTGAGTATAAAACCACATTGTTGTAAATTTTTTTTAGATTATGTCTGCATGATTTAAAATCGTAGTTTCCAATTGCTTACATTTATGTGATAATGTTAAATAAATGTTTTTCGTTTGAAATATATTATTTAAAAATAATTACATCAGCTGGTTTCAACTCAAGTTCATTTTCCACACGCTGCGTAACAGGATCAAGTTTGAGGTGAGATTGGCTTTCGCTGGCTCGTGTGACTCGATGTCACATTTGGGCCAGATTTGAGCTCAATTGTTTTCATTAGCTTCAGTACCGAATAAATGGATGCGGCAATGCTCATGATATGGGCTAATCAATTCAATCACATTTTATTTAAATTTAATAGGTGTCCAGTTCCGAATATTTGATTTCGTTTTAACAAGTGGAACTGTAAATATCTGTCTGTCCAAGTCTATTTTTAGGACTTTAACAATTAAAGAAAATGGTACCACCAAAAATGAGGCATTGATCTAGCTATTAATCATCTTTTCCTTTCCAGGGAGCAACATCAACAACAACAAGCTAAGTATCGACGCGATTTGCGATCATCATCTCTTCGACTTTGATTTGGCGTCCCAGTTTTGTCCAGAAGTCGATAAAGACGAAGATTTTGCCCATGGAATGCCCCAGTTAAGCCTTACCTTATGCAAACTTCAGGGGAAAATACCAGGCAACATTACGAATTCAGTGTTGCAGCAACCTTCCTGCAATATCCCGGTAAATTTGATATCAGAGTGGCGTCAAGGAGTAATTATGCATGATTTAAACAAAGAGCAGTTGAGTAAAGGCCTGAAAAGGTCCTCATGCATCCACGAAAGTGTAAAACACTCCCGAGCTCAGCTCCCTGAGGTCAAAAATGGAACGGGAATCACGTCGTTGGACGCTCATAGACTAGGCTGCACGACTCCACGAAGTCTAGAGAATTTCATGTCTAGAATTTCAGAATTATCGCCACCTCCGTTTTGCCTCAAGACACCTTTAACCAAGGAGAATATTGGCAAGTTGAACAATATTACGAGGGGAAGAGGGAATGCCTGTGAGGATGACGTTCGAGATAAAGATGTGGGTGATAAAAAAGAAATCAGAAGACACGGAAAAATTTGTCGGAAAGGAACTCCATACCCCCATCCTCCGTGCGTAACTGTGGAGCAGGCTGTCAATGGAGGTGACGTGGCGTCAGTAATTGCCAGTGACAAAACCCGCGTAAGTGACAATAGTTCGTCCGTTGACGATCCCGATTGCCTTGAAACTGCCACAGTGATTTCGAGTTCAGATCGCATGTCAGCCTCATCTCTGTCAACAACTAAAACCATGCAACCCATCAGCCGCTCTTTGGAAGATTTGCCCAAATCTAGTTTCTTCTCGATTAATCTAGACAAAAAAGAATGGCCACTGCATCGTAGGAACAATGTTCCAACACTTGAAGATTTATATCACCATCATATGTACGAAGCTATATTATACGGCGAGGGCCAAGTACCTCCATGTGACGTACCACGTATTCCTTCACCTCCGCCGTTACCAACCCGACCGCCTAACTTAATGCCTCCCAATCATGTTATATCGGTTCCACAACATATGAGACGTTTAGCTTCGACGGAACAAATGCTGAAAAGGCTAGATTTTGGAAAATCGTTGCATTTATCTACAAAAAATGCTGTGAAATCTTCAAACACTGAACAACTAAAGAATGTACAGCATCAAACATTTAGTATTGAATGTGCTGATCCAAATTGTAAAGAAATTTGCACTTACTGTGACTGCAATATCCAGCAAATGAGTTTTCAAGCAATGCATCTTGAGAGAATATCACAATCGAAAGTATCTACAGGCGTAGGAGCGAAAATTTTGAATCAGAATCGGCAAACGAAACTACAAAAATTTGGCGCTGCCATCCGCAAGAGCCTTTCGAGCGATCGTTCATTGGAGTCGATGAAAAGTTCAAGCGATTCCATAAAAGACGGCGAAAGAGTTTTCGTGTCTAACATGGGAATAAGAAAAGAATTTCGTGACCTCACAATAGGTCAAGTGAAAAGTGGCAAACTAGATTGTGGTTGTGATATTGATGCGTGCTGTAGTCAAAAACCACCCACGGAGTGTTGCCTCTCAAACGAAATTTGTTTAGAATGCACAGACTGGAAATGTCTTCGTGGGCAAGAAGAACCGAATCGCGATCAGCTGCATTCAAATGCCGTAAATGAATGCGATGGACACGACACGAATGCAAGAAATAATATTAATAGCAATGGTATCGACACTGCTGACATTCCAATTAAGGCCAAAGTAACTTTAGGAATAATCGATCCCCAAACAGTTCAAAAGAAAACAGCGACAAAGAAAGACTCTAAGGATTTAGAAACGATCACCGAAATAAAACTTTGTTCGTCGTTGTCTTCAGTGGAAAGTTTCACTCTCCCAATGTCAGCTGCTCCTCCAGATGTGAAAAGAGATTCCGACGCTGAAACGAAAATCACTGAACGGTCTGACGGTGCACGCAAGTTGCTTGCAGCAGAGGCGTTCACAGACAGATCACCTAACGCGGTTCAAGAGTTGAGAGATTCAAGTTCTCCCCCTCCTCCGCCGCCACCCCACGCAGCCATATTTCTTCACGATGTCAGCTTAGACGACAAGGAACTTTTGACCTGCGAAAACAAAATTGATAAGGAACGAACTCATAAACCTCAACCTCCTCCAAGAACTACGTCTGCCTTCCAATTGTCAGAAAATACAAATTTGAAAATATCCAGTGCAAAAGACCAAGAGAAGTTTCCAGATGCCCGCAATAACGAAGTCAACAACCGGAAGGATACGGTACAGAGACCAAGTTCATCGTTGTGGGAGCGACTAAATCCTCTAAAGACAAAACCTCGTAAGGATTTACAGCGGCCATTACCTCCATTACCTTCGCGAGCACCGCGATCATTTTCCATGGAGCGAAATGTATCGCACCAAAAATCCAACCTCCCACTTCAAACAAAAACAAATTTCAACGGGAATAAAAATATTATAGCATTTCACAACCATTTAAAAGTAACCCAATTCAACAATAATAATATGACAGCGAATTCACCTTCCGATATTCTCGTCTCCAGTGGAGGTGTGGAAAACAGAAATGAGTGCTCGGTGTTGAGAACCTGCAGAGAAATCAACAATCACTTGCCCGGAAATGTTTTGCAGCCGCAGGAATCAGGACCTCAACTAATGCTTGAACAGAATCCTTGTTGCTGTTCTTGTTTATCTCATTCTTGTTGCTGTGAAGAATTATGCGCCAAACAGAAATTTCCAGTTAAAAATTTAGCCGCCGAACAACTACCCGAGTTAGCTGCAATCGCCCATGATAATGATGCTTCATCCTCCGAGTTCCAAGAAGAAAGCTCTGAACTGAGGAAAGAAGAACCAACCGTTTTCACCTCGACTAAACAACAAATGCGTCCTATCCCATGTCCGAGAATTTTTTCATTATCTGCTGCAAAATTGAGTCAACCATCGGTCCCAGCTCCAACTGAAACGAATAAAACATCTGGAACATCAGGAGAGCCAAAATCCGGAGCACTAATTCAACCTGTGGACGACGAGTATGGTTTCAACGTAGCTTCTTATCTCATCTAAAACAGCATTAGGGTTGTTCTCGAGCATGAGGGTTAACGCGTTATCCTGGCTCAAAACATAAGAAGACATTATTTAATTCGGAGAACCATTCTAGAATTTACGATTTTTCCAAAATGTGAGTTATAATGTGAGAGGAATGCTCAGTGCCGAGTCTCTCTAATTTGTAGACGTTTTACACTCAAAATGCTGTGAATAGATTCATAGTGCAATTTTGATTCATGGTATCCTGTTCTAAATGAGTCCAAAATCCATGTTAATTACGTATCCGGTTTACCACGTTGCCGTGATTTTCAAAAGCTAAATCATGAAGTACAGTAGGATCGGGTAATTTAATTGCTAATACAAGTACTTCCACTCATTTCCAACTAAGTTTTCGGGAAGATTAGGCAATAATGTACATATCGTCTTCGCTGATTAAGATATAGAGCTTCGTTACATTGTGTGTTCAAATTTCGTAGATAGAGGTTGGAAATTCATTCTGATCAAAGGCGAAACTGAAACAAAATGAAAAAAAAACTCCTAATTATCATATATGATAAAGGATGAAACATGAATGCCAGTAGTGAGCAACTTTTTTGTCACACGAGACATCATAAATGAGCGATAAACTTGACGCCGTTCGAGTAGTAAAGTGAGTTATCTGTGAACAATCTCATAAATAATCGTGTTCCGGCGCAATCAAATGATAAAAATTTAGCCTTTTGTGGTTCCTGGCCTGTAGCACTGACGAGCGCTACTTCTACCTGTGTTTACTCATTTGGGATCTTTACTGATTCTTTATTTAGCGCAGCAAAAAATTCTCCGCTTACAGTGTAATTAACACAAATTTAGACGTAAATCCTCATGCATCGTTTGTTACGTGATAGCTGAATCCAAATCTATGTGAAGCATATCGTACGATAAATTCCTCCCTAAAAAAACTGTCGCCTTAAGATTAACGGAGTAAAACACCAGGCAGAAAACGTTAACGTACTGTTTAACTCCTACCGAATGTGATGATAACCTTGAATGTTTCTAAATTATTCCTTAATTAAAGTTCAATGTTGTAATTTAAGTGCACTTATAAAGTTCTTCCTACACTGTTACCATAAGCAGTCCTGAGTCACTTGTTGCTAGTTAGCAACGTTTAGTGCTGCGCAGGAACTGGTTTAGCGTAGTCTGTACAGCTCAGGCCCTGGATGTATTACGTCATGTACAATATCCACTAATATGTGCAATTATGAAATATAAGTTGAGCATTAAGCCCTACATTGCTTCTTCTTGCTATACCAAAATTTCAAATTATCAGAGAATTTTGAAGTTGCAATAGAATTGCTGATCCTGATACTTAGGAAAATATCTTTTATCAGTCACAACATTATTTGACAATAATTAAAGTACTCAACATGAATACAAGTTATTAAAATAAGTGGGGAATATTCTTAGTTCAAAAATCTATACTAGCTCGAAACAATTCTGAAACAATATGTATATGTGCTAAAATTTGAGAAGAAAAATTTTATATGAATATTTTTCAATTTGGCCATCACCATCAACCATGACTTGGATTAGAAGTTGACCACATTTCACTTCAAGGCTACTCTCTATACAACGTTGCTCACAACAGGACACGCAGTAAACCAAACAATGGGAAGAATTCTAGAATTATTTTTGTATCAAATGTGTTACTATCAATACATCTTAAAATTAGACAATGCATTTACTCAAACCACTTCCAAAACAAGGAGGAATATTAAAGGTCTAGATAAAAGTTTGTCAAGACTAACACCACTAATTAAAATAAATTAAAGCTGGCAATGTTACATCAGTACAAAAATGTAGAACTCTCTCAATGTCTTCATAATTAAGAAATATTAAAAAAAATATGTAAGAGCATCCAGATACTGAAAAAAGTCGTGCAGGAGATTTTGAATCCCAAAGTGAAATTTCTGAATTTGTTCACAAAATGTTTTCAGCTTTATAAACGTTGAGCAAGTACACTAGGTGCGTTAATGAAAATGCTGAAATAATACAAAAATGTATTTCCGTTATACTACGCCACATCAGTAATGCTGTTGACAACCTGTTCAAGACATCTCTGAACCACTAGTATTTGGCGAGGTATTGCTACTGCTACTGCTGTTCAATGACAATGATTTTGAACTAAGAGTAAAGCCACTTTGATAGCTTCGATCAGATGTTGAAACTTCCTTAGCAGTTTCTTCAAGTTGAGAAGAAGAGAACAATCGAGGCTTTGGAGGCTTTTTAGAAAGAGCAGACAACTTGTTCTTAGTGCTACGGTGAATAGGATTTTTTGCAATTTTATTTGCAGATTTTTTGTGGTGCTCTTTGCTGGCCCTGCTGGAAGATGAAGAGCTACCAGAGCTGTGGTGATGGTCACGTCTGCTTGCCATCCTGTGGGATATGCTGAACTCACTGGCCAGCTTCACTGCTGCTTTTGCAACGTCTTCCGAGGATACACTAATATTCCGCCTGCAATGTAACAATTGTAGAATTAAAACGAGGAAAACTGTGCAATCAAATCCATTATTACATTACAATGATTACATTGTTTGGTCAGAGTATAAGCACCATGTTAAAATGATGTAATTTATGCATCATTTTTAATGTGCATCATATTAAAACAATTAAGGTAAATTATATATATTCAAAGGAGACAAAACATGTACACTGCAAGTATTCATTACTCGTATCATCATAAAATAAGATTTTTCATTCAATATTTACTCTTGTTAAATCAAAACTTAAATTGCAAGAAAATAGTGGGACAGCTGTTCGCCATTAAGATGAAAGACATGAAAAATATCAGCCAAATAATTAATAGAAGCTTGAGGGTCCCATCAGAAGAAGGTAACTCAATTTCATGGAACTTGACTGATTACCAGGTATATGGAAAAAGACAAATTATTCATACCAAACTCACCGTTTGAATGCTTCTGCATGAGAAGCATTAGAAAGTTTCTTCATAAATATTAGATAATACAAGTAAATAAAATTAGTGGTGTCCTTAGCAATTTTTCTTCCTCCATATCCAGGAAAAATATATCTATTTAACAAGGTTTGACTTGGACAGTGAAACATGATGCTAAACTGGAAAAAATTAAAAGTAATTAATATTGTCAAATCATCACACAGAACTTAGCTGGAAAAGAATAACAAAATCACTGTTACAATGAATAGTAGAATTCAAAACTTGAAGAAAATATTAATTTCAAAGCTGTTGTGTTGGGGAGCCAGCAAAGATTTATAGTCTTTGAATCCACTATAACATGCACTTTGTTATTGATTTAATTTTATATTAATTGTTGGACAAAATTATATCCTACATGTGTGATACTAGTAAACTAGATTTAGTTGTGATCACAAATGATTATTCATGCCACAAAGCACAGGGTTATGATTCAAAAAGTTTGGTGAATCTATGAGATAAAAAATTAGATCAGTACTAACTGCAGTGAGTGACAGAGTGCATTTTCTTGTCCGCCCATCCGTGAAGTCATGGACAGACATATGGACGGACGGACAGACATGACGAGCACATAAGCACCTTTTTTCCATAAATGAGAAAATGCACTTAAAAGGATGAAATGAATTTTTTAATGAAAGAAAATTTATTCACACTCTGTTTTGCTGCATGATTATTATCTTATGATTAGTTATACAAATTTTAAAACATTCTACATAGTATGATGAAAATACTTCAATTATTGGCGCACCAATTAGGTGCAGGGTGGCCCAGTGGTTAAAGTTCAGAGTACCAAGATTGGAGCAGAGAGGCACGGGTTTGAACCCAGCTCTGTGCCCCAGTTTCTGGTCAGAATCGGCAAAGAGGCCGGGCGGTTAAGCACAGCAGAATTGGAGCAGTGAATTGTGAGTTCAAGACCGCAACAAGCTGTGAATGTTCTGCAATGTTAAGAATTGGCGACAGGCCTACGGCCTAATAAATGCTGAAACCGCTATTATTATTGTATTATAATTAGAAATCTTCAATGTGGTGACCCTGTCTTAAAAATTTAATTTGTGCAGGACTGCAGGAGCTTGCTTTGAAAAGTGGTTCATTCATAAAGCAAACCTATTTGCCAGATCCAATCTATTGGGCAGAATAAGAAAAAAAACTCAAGATTGAATAAGAATCTTCTAGGCCTTTACTACAATTATTGAAAATTGCAGCCAAAAATGAGCCACAACGAATTTAGTGGCAATAAATAATAGTCAGCAAATTTGCAGTTTCTTTATGTGAGAAAACGTCAGTTCCATTGTCAGTTCAAAACCTATAAGATAAGCAGAATCAATTAGAAAACTGAAATTCACATCGAAGATAAAAACTTAAATTGACAAAAGAAAAATACACATGAAGTGACAGGCCTTTCTATTTACAATTTCAAGAGCATAGGAGCTGAAGGTTTAGGAAGCATGTGAGCGTGGGACAACCGGACCACTGGAATAGGAGCCTGTCTTTGTGCTGACAACTATACTGCTTTGACAGCCTGAGCATAGGTATAACCAGTGGCATGCAGCTTTTCAACTGCAATGGCTTTCACAATGAAAGGGCACTCTTGGGAATTTGCAGCATGGGATCCCTTACAGTTGGCACAGTGCAACTCAGCTGATTTACAAACTGTTTGCTCAGGAGGTCCAGCACATAGAAGACACCTTCTAAGAGAATTACAATTTACAGTCCTCTGCAAAATGTCCCATTCTTTGGCATCTGTAACGTCTTCAAGGAGCAGCCACAAATGGTCTCACTGTACTGGGTAGGATACATATCCAATTCTGACCTGACTAGGCAATAGCTGTCCCTCAAATGTTAACTTCAAAGTAGCTGATGGCTCATATATTCCATGGCTGGTAAAGTCCCATTTTTTCTGAAATATCGTGGCTCTAATATCATAAAACTTCAGTAGGTACCTATGAAATCTCGTGGCTCTAATGTCATGTATTTTTGTTTGTTTGAAAAAATTGCAGTTTGCATTGCAAACATGTCCTTTCAACATCCAAAATGTTTCCTTGAAGATTGCGTAGTTGCGATCATGTCAGAGCGGTCAGATTACAATATCATGTGTTCAGTTGCCACTTAAGTGAAGACAAGTGTTAGTGACATAGCCTTGCTTTTTGATGACTGTTTTTAGGGTAATATTAGAAATTTGGGGTAACATGTGCATGGGACTTTGAAAATAAGTTTGCACCTTGTAAATGGCTTTTCATAGCCAAAATATGGAATTCATGGCTCAAAGAAATGCAATCACAGCTCAAAGAAATGAAATTGTGGCTGCCAAACCCATAAAACCACTGCTCAAAAAATGCAGTCATGGCTCACCAAGTAGACATATTCCATGCCTGATGTATTCCATTTTGAGATCTGGTGAGCCTAGTGATGCTGGTAAATGGTAATGAGTCTCCACTCTCCAGCATTAGCAATTTCCAATATATCTTCTATGCCCACATTGGGATCAATTGGACCCAGAACTCCAGTCCATACACACAGATATCTGATCCAGGCTGGTAGCATTGAACTACCCATTTTCCAATCATGCACACACTGACACAGATAGAAATTTGGACATCTGATTTCCTCTAAAAGAAAGTGATTCTAAAGCAATTAGCTAGTGTTGACGATTAGTGTGCACATTCAAATTGTGAACTTTCCCAAAAATTGAGTTCTTGATACCCTGGGGCCTGGGCAAGGCCAATTGGGTCCATGAGAAAGCTCAGAGCATTACTCTGCAATATGCATTAGCCATTAGGTCCCTGAGCCTCTGAGGCTCCACCAAGATCAAGATGGTCTGGCCAGAACCAGCACTCTGCAAAGTTGAATTTGATGGTAGTGTTAGCTTTGCCTTTACTTGACTTGACATTGACTGCCAATCTGCCATTTGGATGTTCATTTATAGAGATTTACTACACAGAGACCTGGTAACTTTCTGCTATTCACAGCCCACGCCCCACTGTGCAGAGAGTGGATGAATATTGCAAGATCTTGGCGATGCTTCAGTAGCAAAATTTACGCCTTCAGAAGATATTGCCAACACATTTAGATTGAAATTCTTGCATTTAATATATTTGTCAGTCTTCGGCCAAACATTTAGAAAAAAGTAGGGTTTCCGGTACGTTGGACGGATCAGGATGCAGTAAGCTTGTCTGGAAATTAGTTGCGATGAGTTCCCGCCAAAATATCGTATGCAAATGCAAACAACAAGTTTACGATTGCATAGTTGCGGTAACATTAGAGCAGTCAGACTGTGTTATCATATGTTCAGTTGACACTTGCTGTATAATTGGACTGTTTTTGGGGTAAAATGAGTTATTTTGGGTAACACGTGCATGCAACCTTGTAAAAAAAGTTCATGGCTTCTGAATAGTTTTTCATTACTGAGTGTAAATGGCATTTCAGTAAAAATTACCAGGCAATGCATCTTGAAAATGGTTGGCGACACTTTGGGCTTAAAAACCCATATATTGGCAACGCTGCTTCCATCCTCTGCACCCTGGTTCACAGCTGCGCCACAGCCGCCACCTGCACGTTTTGCTCTACTCAGTCTACACTGTCTACTGCCTGGATGGAAGACTCACACTTGAACCACTTGAGTTCCGGTTCCTGCACTTTCGAGCAGAAATGGCAGGGATAGCCTCAACCCCTCAAGGATACTGTCACTATCACTGGGTCTGAGTCTTCAACATCAAAGGTGCCAGAAACTGCACCGGTGCACCCCCTCTCTCCATCATCACAACTAACTCACCAGTCTCCACTCGCCAAAAAGAAGATGACACAGGAGGACCAAAACCAGACCCAGCATGCCAGCAACAGCGAGGCAGCTGGAATCTGCCATGTTGAACCAAACTTCAACTCCTTATGGAAAAAGACAAAAGGCACAAAAAACACAAAAAGTAAACAAAAAATAAATAAAGATTTTAATACAGATAACTGAAAAAATAAAATAATTAAAAAAATAAAGTAAGTGAATAATAAAAATAAAATAAGCAATTCCGCAAAGCAGACTGGCAAACCTCTGAGGTCTGAGCCTCTGAGGGTGAGGGAGAAAGCCAGTCTTGTTTATAAGGAATCAAACTTTAAATAATGATTATTTCAAGTAAATACAAATGTTAATCCTTTGACAAAAAATAAATTCACCGGTTCTTTAGAGAGCTCAAATAACATACATGCTTGATGCTTTTGCAGTGAACACGACCAACTTTCTCCCATAACTGGTATCAGAATAGATTATGTTACAGAAAGGCAATCCACCTTCCACCAAGCTGGTGCCTGGTGGTGGTGGTTGTGGGTTGTATCCGGTACCGGTACTGTAGGTGAAGAAATCGCACGTTGGCCACTCCCACTTGTAACTACTGGACAGAGTCTGGACTCAGCATTGCCAGCAATAGTTATTTACTTCAAGTCTTCATCATGATTCCCACAATTTCATCGTCTTCTATCAGCTATGCTGGCATCAGCACTCCATGTTATTAACAATTTTCGTGTTTGGAGCAAAATTGGAGGCCGGGGCAAATCACTGTTTGATCCAGTTTACTTCACCAGCTACATGGTACTGATGGTACTAGATAATAGACTCATTCGACTGGTTTGCATTAGATAGGCTATGTGGTGGTTGCTCTCACTATATGGTGCTGAACAGTGAACTCTTTTGGGATAATTTCCTCCACCAAGGAGCTGTGGAGCACACGCACAGATAAGTCAGATTTGAGAGGGACTCCCAGGGCATGTATAGGCCCTACTTGAAAGTTGATATCATCACCTGTCTTTCATATTCATTGATCGTATACCGTTAACCAAAGTATACGTGAAAGGATTTAAGGAGGAAGTGTTCAATTGACTCTTCAACCACACAGTGCAGGCACATCCACCAAGCTAAAACGACGCAAACATAAAACAAGAGCACATCGAAGACAAACTTGAATCAATTAAATCACCCGGTACTCTGCAGCTGGTTGCCAGAGAACTGAGAGAAGCCAAGAGAAAAAAAAAACAATTTAGCTCACAAAAAGGCCAAATATGGCCTCATTTGAAATTAATAGGAAAATTTTGTATTCAAGTTAATTAAAACCATTTACAGTGTGCACATTTACTTGAAGCGAATTATACGTTACTTGTCGATTGTACCTACGGCCTACCTTGTCAACCTTGATTG